TGTGATTTGTGATTGCCTCCATTAATAAATTGTTTGGATTTCATAAATTTATTTGAATTATTCAAAATGTTCTTTCATACATACCTGGAAATTATATACATACATACAGATACACACACACACACATACACAAAGCTAAAACCTCATGAAAGATTCTTTGGAAACATTACTGTAATGTGAAACTTAAGCTGTTAATTGTTTTTCCCTACTGATAATATAATCTAATGTTATATATTAAATGGTTTGAGATGGGGCATATGATTACCTATATAATAAAAGTTCTTATGTAAACAAACAAAAATCTAACATTTCAACTAAACAAGACAGAAGACGCAGTAGTCTAAATATACTGATATTTAAGAATTTCAACAAAAAATTTAATGATATATAATTCTCATAAGAATTAGATTTTGAATAATTTATTGATCAATACATTTTCAAATGCCTTTCACATGAAATTTCTCTATTTCAGTATTTTAGTTATGATCCTCACTATGATAGAATCATGATGATTTAAATATTTGTGTATAGACATAGATATTTATAATGTATTCACTTAGGAGTTAAAAAGGGAAAATATTTCACTTTGTTTAATTAGCCAATAGCCTGCCTCCCTTTTCCTGTGGGTTCTTCTCTTTAATACTTCTTTTTCCCCTGTGTTTTCTCTTTGAATATAATGAAAATATGAGCTCTTAAATACTAATGAAAATATTCATATCTCTAATATAAATTTTAATAGCAAAATTATGGATACTAAAGAATTTTATTAAATACTGGCTTTCATTGTCAAAGCATAAATTCCAGAGAGAAAAATAGAATCCATCTTACCCACACCACACTGTTACAGGTAGTTTTGGTACAGTCTCCCTGTTCCCAAAGCAGGCAGGTGTCAAAAATAATGACACCATTCTCCAGTTTAAATTTGGATTTAAAAAAGGGAAGCGCACAGTGGGACCTCAATGCAAAGGAAAATAAATGGCCTGACAGAGTGGCAAGGGGTCAGTTAACGGTTTTCCTTGAAATTCTAAATCTTTCCATATGGAAAAAGATTGTAAAGTGCTTCAAAAATTTGCAGATGGATGTAAGAGTTCCAGAGGCTCATGAAAGAAGTAACTTATTTAGAAAACCTATCGATATGACCCCAGATTTCAAATTAAGCAAAAAATATTTCTATGTTTCTCAGACATGTGTCTGAGTATGGAATGCATGAAACAGATTCTTAATGCATGCTGGAGATCATCAGGGCAGGTGACTTGAGCTACTTCTTTTTCCTGCCATTGGAATGAGGACAGGCCACGTCAAAGGACAGTCTCTACAGGGCTTTGGTCCTCTTCCAGAATCCATATCATGACAGAGTCGAGTTCTCTCAACTAGGAATACAAAAAGTGCCACGTAAATGTATATAGAGAGATACATATTTGGTACATACATATCTATTGTGTATTTGTATATACCAAATATCTGCACTAAATATATTTGCCAAAGAAAAAAATATGGGTAAAATAATAGCTTATGTGTTATTTTTACAATAAACGATGAACTATTAAAAAATTTATAAACCTGGCTTAAGGGATCATTTATCTGAGATAAATTTGAAATAGAGAAATCCCTGAAAAGATCTCTAAACATCAAGATTGGCACTTGAAAAATCACTGATGTCTTTAAAAGTTCTCAAATGGTTGTATTTGTTCCATTTTTATGATTAAACCATTAGGAACAGGAATAGTAGAAAAGTAAAACAGCCACCAGCTTGGGACACGGGGTATCATTAAACAGCTCCCAGTATGAAATTAACATGTTTCCTATACTTCTTTTTTTTGAGACAGAGCCTCAAGCTGTCCCCCTGGGTAGAGTGCTGTGGCATCACAGCTCACAGCAACCTCCAACTCCTGGGCTCAAGTGAGT